TTTAAAATATCAAGTGAAACTTAAATCATAAGATTCAAAGACTACAATAGTGAACAGTGTAATAAACCCAAGTGTTATTTGTTATTGAATAAATATTGTTAAATTAAACAATTGTGTCCTAATCGTGTTTGATTGGTCAGCTACGCGCAGTAGTCGATTGGAAAGAACCTACCTAAAGGAATAGTTTCCCTCAACACCTGGAGTTATCGACCAGAAGGGTTAAATCTATTCTTCTAAATCCAGATCAATTCTTAACTCAGTGAAAATAAAAGAGTAATCCATTTGGGACGTAACATGAAAAAAAAATTGAAATCGGTGTAGTCGTTTTTGAGATACTGAGAAAAAGCGAAATTTGAACAAGTTGTATATATCAGGAACTACTGGACCGATCGGTCTGAAACAGCGCCCCAAAGTTGAGCTCAATAATAGCTACAATGAGCCAATATTTCAGACTTTTATCTACAAAAATTTTTACCGTATTTATGTTGAATTTTTTAAAAATTGATCAGTAGTAATACCACGAGACCTCCAAAATGATCGGGTATTTCCCGATAACTTCGTTGCAAACAAACGATCGTGTCAAGTTTTGTAGGAAAATCCCTCGCGCTTCGCGCTCGGGATTTTTAAACCTACAAAACTTGACACGATCGTTTGTTTGCAGGGAAAGTTGAGGGAAATACCCGATGCATTTTGAAGCTTGAGGGGTATTTGGAGGAGTATTTCCTCCATCGGAATTTCGGTCACTGGAGGGCAGCATTTGATGTCAATGTGGTACAACCTACACTTTCGCATTTCAATTATTTTGTTTATTCTCCCTTAGCAACGTGCCGTGGTTTTACCAAATTTTACCGATATAAAACCGTGTAGGTTGTACCATGTGACATCAAATGCGGCCCTCCTATTGGCCAAGATCCCGATGAGGGAAATACTTAGATAAAAAAAAAGAACTACTGCGAAATATTCAAAAGCTAGGAGGAAATATCCGAAATAAAACTGCCGGGTAGCCCCAAAGACTGCGCTCTGATTGGTCGAAATCGGATTGGAAAAAATAATCACCAAAAACCCATGTTGTCACACACATACACACATGACCCTAAAAACATAATTTCTTCACGTTTCATAACATTCTGAACCATTGCCAATCAAAATTTAAAAAATTAAAAATCGGTCAAAAACAAAGCTTTCATTCGAAAGCAAAAAATCAATAGATTTTTATATTTCTATATAATTAACTTGTTATTTTGAGATTATTTATATGAAAATTCATTAGGTGAAGGTTGTCTTTCTCAGTTTTCTTCCATCAATTTTTCAACGAGTGGAGAAGTCAATGGCAATGTTTGAATTCAGTGACAAAAAATTGGGAAAATTTTTGCCGAAGAATTGAGATTTCAGTAGAATAAATTGTACATACAAAATTATTAATTTTCTATTCAATATTCTTTTAAAGAAATGTGCGGATAAACTGTGAAATTTTTCAACAAAATCGGTAACAAATGTTTGGAATTCTCATTAGAAATGTAATGGAAACTCCTCGAGAATGCCCTAGATTTTTTGGAGGAAGTAGAATTAAGTCTGAGATGAATCTCAGACAAATAGAATTAAGTCTGAGATGAATCTCGCGATCGCTCGAAGACTAGATGATTTATCATGAGCGATACGAGGGACCAGAGTTCATACTTCAGGAAGGTCACTCTTAATCGGATGTAGGGTATCAACAAATTTGACATCAGAACAACATGATCGCACAGTTTCGGCAACATTCAATGGGATACATTCGTCACTTTCATTCAATAGTAAAATTGAGTGAAGTCAATTTGTCACATCTCATCCAATATCGACACATGAAATTATCTCGACACATATGAAAAACTTTAATAGAAAAAACTAGAGCTTTCCCTAGGAACTTTTATCGAATTCTATAAGAGCTCTGTAAGAAATCTAATGGAGTTCTATTACAATTCTATTTGTCTTTTACTCAAATTCTGTAAAAAATTATGCAACTTTCCCATGCGTTTTTTCATAGATATTTGTTTATAGAAAAATGTCCAATATTTTTCCTATAAAACTCAATCAATATTCTGTTGAGATTTTTTCTATAAGAATTTTTGGACATGAATTGTCCAAGTTTTTTTTCTTGAATTTTATTATAAAAACGAATGAAAAGATAGCGGAAAAACTTTAAAAATTTGCAGCCAGGAATTTTGATAGAAAAATTAGAATCTATACTTTTTTTAAATGACATATCTCTTAACAAAATTACACGGTAACGTGGCATAATCTTCTATAAAAATTACGCAAAAAACAAATAGAATTTCTAGAGAATTCTTATAGAGTTTCAATAGAATTTCATAGAGAAGATATTCAGTTTTTTATTACATTTTTTTGTGTGTGAATAATTAAAACGCGCCAAAAAAATCTAATAAAAAACCTAGAAAACCCGCTAGATAGTTTTCGCCGATTGTGACGAAAAGTTCCGTTGCTTTTCTGCGCGTTTTTTTCAATAGAAAATATTCAACAGAAACAATTTTATAGAAAAAGTCAATAGAATTTGATCTTTGTTTACAACTCATCCCGTTGAGATATTTTCTACAGAAATGCCTCGACATAAATTTTCTAAGATTTATCCACTCCATTGTATTCTCCTCTCATTTAAAAAATCGATCAAGAAAACTTGGAAAATTTGCGCAGAGGAGTTTCTATGGAAATTATCTCAATAAAGTATGTTGTACAAAAAAAATCAAGTTCTATGGATTTCTTCTGTAAAATATTTTCTATTGGGCATTTCTATTGAACACACGCATAGAAAAGCTGCGGAATTTTTCAATAGCAGCAGTGTGAAATTAACAGAATTTTCAATAATTCAATTAGAATTAATCAACCATTATTAACACATTCCTCGATTTGCGGAAACGAGAGGACGAATGACTAAAATACGCAGCCAAATTTCATCCTTACTCCTTGTGAAGAATGTCACTTCTGCAGAGTGTAATTCAATTCTTTTTCAAAATTGAAAATACGGATGTGAAATGAAAAAAATTGAAGTCCTCGGGATTTGACTCGGGTGGGTATCGAGGATCTTTCTTTATCTGGGCGAGTTTTTTATTCTTTTTCAATCTTGAAAAACAATACAAAATCAATAGAAGCTTCTTTTTCTATGGAATTTTTTCGTAAATTTGGGAAAAAATGTCTCCTGAAACTTATTGTCAATTTTGTTATCGAGGTGAATAATGATTACCAAAGAAGTACACGGATGAAAAAAATTAATAGAAAAACCTAGCGAATTCACTAGACAATTCTACTGGATTTTTGTTGAAATTTCTATTAGTTGTTGGCCGATTCTAGTGAAATGTTGAATAGAAAATATTCTATAGAAAGTCAAAAAAATTCGATTTTTCTATACACCTTATGCTATTGAGATATTTTTAATACAATTTCCTCCGCTCAAATTTTCTAAGTTTTTTCGTTTGATGTTCTTGATAAGACAAAAAGAAGAATAGAATGAAAAAAAATTGAAAAATTTGAACCAAAGAAATTCTGTAGAAAATATTTGAAGAGAATAAGTTATATAGAAAAATAAAATTCTATTAACTTTTTCTATTGAACATTTCAATAGAATCGGCCAAAAGCTAATAGAGAGTTCAATAGAAATCCAATAGAATTTTCCAGCAAAATCGCCGTTTTTTTATTAAATTTTTTAGTGCGTGTATATATATACTCATTGCAGTTCACCACTTTGCTACTGTTTGTATTCCCATCCCATTCATCAACCGCAGAATAAAATACCAGTATGAATGATCGCTTGCATGATGCTTAAGCATCTATCTGCCATCCTTGAAGTGATACCTGGAAACGCAAAATGAAAGTGAATCTAAGGCAAATCAACTGAACACGGATGTGTTCATGTGACATCACATCATTCCAAATATGGATTCTCCGTGTAATTGTCGTTTGATCGTCGTTATAAATATCTCTGGATGTTGGCCTTTTTTATAATTGTTAACGACTTCTCAAAAATGATCCTTCAATCATGCAAACGAGATGAGTTCATTTTCTTATTTAACTGCAAACACTAATGCTTGTCTTTGCTAATATGCAACAAGCAAATAAGTAGCAAAATGAGTCAATTTTCTCTCGACATCAGCTATGCAAATTAACTTAAAATCTTAGTATTGGGGAATAGCGAAATTTTCGAGATGATTTAAACATTTTCTGAATATTCTGTTTCTCCATCCAAAATTAATCCTGGGGCTACGTTGACTTCACATATAAAAAAACACGTGAGGAAAAAATAATAAAATTCTGTTGAACTTCTATTGGATTCTTTATTGAAAATGCTATTAGTTATTCATCTATTTTATTGAAAAACTCCGATGTCTCTGCACGTTTGTCAAGCAAAAATGTTCAATTCAAAATATTCTATACGAAAAGTTGATAGATTTTCATCTTTTTGTACGACTTTTTTGTACGACTTATGTTGAGATTATTTCTACAGAAATTTCTTGGTTTCAATTTTCTGAGTTTTTTACTTGCATTTTTAATGGGAATATAAAAAAATACAGTGAATAAAAAACATAAAATCCATACTGAAAAAGTTCCGTAAAAAATATTTGAATAGAATAAGTTGTATAGAAAGATCGAAATTCAATGATTTTTTCTACGAAATAAGTCCTATTGAACATTTCTATTAGAAAAATGCTCGCAGAAGCTGCGAAATTTTCCAATAGAAGAGGCAAAAAACCAATAGAATTTCCAGTAAAAGTTCAATGGAAATAAAATAGAATTGTCTACGTATTGCACTAGGTTTTTCTAGTTAGTTTTCTGGTTAAATTTTTTCGCACGTAAATTCAAGAGAAAAACCTTGCGCATTTGCTTCTATTATGAATCAATTGAAAATTTCAGTTTTTCCGCAGATTTTTGTTGTTATCAAAACGATTGAAGTAATACTACTTGACAGAAAAAACTCAGCGGATTCGGAAATTTCTATTCAGCTCATTTTATTGAGATTTTCCAATCAAAGAATTTCCAAGTTTCTTTTTCTTCATTTTCCAATGTAAAACAGAAGATAAAACCTGAAAAATTCCATTAAAACCCAGAAAATAAGAGTAAGTTATGTAGACAACTTTAAATCTATTGTTTTTTATCAGACATGAAACAACGCGCGGAAAATTTGAGGAATTTTTGATGGGATTCGATGGAAATCGCCAGAAACAAATAGAATTTCCCGGCGAATGGACTACCGTCGTTTTTCGAATTTTCTCATACGTGTTATCTCGTATCACTACTCCACAACGTGAATATTGCAAAATAGCAGCAACAAGTAACCAATTACTAAATTTTCCAACAACAAATTCCAACATCTCCCAACATCACAATTGTGTCACGAATAAACAAATTTAATAGAAAAATTTAGGAATTGGCTAGACAATTCTATTGGATTTCTATTGAACTTTCTATTAGCCATTGACCGATTTTATTAAACATTCTACTAGTTTTTGACCGATTCTATTGAAATATTCAATAGATTATTCTACAGAAACAGCCAATATAAGTAGATTTTTCCATGCAACTTATTCTATAGAGATACTTTCTATAGAATCGCCTCGGCTCAAATTTACTAAATTTTTTCATTCTATGTTTTTCTATTCTATTCTTTCTATTTCTTTTTTTTTCATAAAAAAATCAAACAAAAAAACCTGGAAAATTTGGAAAATATCTCAATAGAATAACTTGTATAGACAAATCTAATTTTGTTGACTTCTTCTATGGCATATTTTCTATTCAACATTTCAGAATCGGATATTTTCTAGTGAAACAGAATCCGCCAGAAACTAATAGAAAGGTCAATAGGAATCCAATCGAATTTTCTAACGAATTCGATAGGTTTTTCTATAAATTGTTTTCGTGCGTGGGGTTTTCACGGGACATTATGGTCTCAAGAAGTTCATCTCCGATAGACTCCCGCGCATTAATCACCCGCGCGATTAAACATTGTAGTAGTGAGCGTATTTGAGAATACCCAATACGTAGCAGAACGTGCCCTCAGAGTCATCACTGTCGCTGGAGAAGGGGTGCCTATACATAAATCCAATCGCGGATCCTCGGAACAGTTACAAGTGCACTTGATTTTTACCCGTGAACATCGAAACAGTCTCATAGTGCTAAGTGGTCTACACCTTTAAGGTAAGACCCCAATTTGTGTACAAATTATCATAAAGTGAGGAAAACCGGAGAAAAATTTTCATTTTCCTAGATCACGTGAGAAAATGGCCTTCAAATTGGCGATAATTTTTTGTGCCATTGCGGCACAAACTTTTGGCGCACCAAAGCCTTGCTACACCAATTGCGCTACATCAGGATCTACCTTCAGCCATGAATCCATGACTGGTATAAGCACCCACGGGAACTTCATGGCTCAGCAAAATGCTGCCTTCCAGCAGCTTCACCAGAGCCTCATGAATCAACTGCAAGAGGCGCATCATTTGGATTACAGTCAGCCAGGGACATGGCAGAAAAACGCGGCTTACAAAACCGACGATGGTGCACAAGTTTACCAAGAGCACGGTAAAGTTGAAACTGATAACGCCCAGATGCGCTACTTCAAGAAGAATTACACAAAATCATGGGGATCTGGAGGTGGTGGACTGAGCAACGATCTTTTGAGCACCCAAGGACGCTTGACTGGCGGTGGATACTCAGGTGGTTCAAGTCACCACGAGTCGCACCATCAGAACTGGGAGATCAATTCCAACGGTCAACACTCACAGAACATCGAAGATCTTGGTGTCCAGCAGATACCAACAACCCAAGTATCCAATAATGTTATCCGTAATTTCGAGGAAATGGCAAGAAACCTTGAGTCTTACATCAGCCAGTGCACAGAACGCGTGCAAATGGGTCAGCTGAGTAATTATCAATCATACACTGATGTCGTTCAACAGCACTTGGACCAGATGAAACAAACAATCCGCGATAATGGATTGTGGAATAGATTAATTGGGCAGATTAATTCCCTTGAGACTAAGCTGAATGAATTGAAAGTGCAGGCTCAGCATTCCGCCAATCTCATTCATACTGGATCAACATCGAGTCATGGTTCTAACACGGTAGTGGCATCAGGTGTTCATCAACCTGTTATCACACAGGTTCCAGTTGGAGAATCGATTCGTCAGGATGAGGAGTACAAGGGGCGCGTTAGCATGACGAGCAGTTATCCCGCACCAATTCAGAGCGTTCCTAGTCAGAGCCAGCAGTACGCTTCGGGTGCGTCAGGCGGATATCAACAGTCGTATCAATACGGGTATGTTGTAATGCTCCCGAGATTTGAGAGGGGATTACTGATAATATTTGTTTCAGGTCACATGGTCAGAGTGGTTACGTAAGTAGCAGTCAAGATTTGTCGAGCGGTGCTAATCAACATGGTGATTACACCCAGCATGCTGGTTACGGCCAGCAGGCAGGTGGTCAGTCATACGCTCAAGGTCATACTGGATATGGTCAGAGTACTGCTGATTATACCCAGGGTACTGTCGGATACAATCAACATAATGCTGGATACAGTCAGCACAATGCTGGATACAATCAGCATAATACTGCATACAATCCACATAATGCTGGGTACAATCGGCATAATGCAGAATATAATCAGCATAATGCGGGATACAATCAGCACACCGAACAAGTTTATCCAGTCCACACATCTCCGGCTAAGACAGTCGAAGAGAGCTGGAATGCATCAGGCAGTCGTAAAGAAACTACTTATGGTGCTTCACATGTTTTAGAACCCATTCGCAGTGCAGGTAGCCGTTGCAGAGGGGCTGACGGCCAGTACAACAGCTGGTGTACCTCGAACAGCGGTCAAACCGAGAGCATCAATTATGGAGGGCAAGGATCTGGGTGTCAAGGTGCTGCATACGGAACGCTGTGTAAAAGGTATAAGAGAGAGAATAAAGACGACTTTTCCCAACAGACTGAAGATTTGACCCAACAGACTGAGGATTTGACACAACAGACTGAGGATTTGACTCAACAAACTGAGGATTTGACGCAACAGACTGAGGATCTCAGTCAGCATGTTGGTAGTTTGCAAGTGGGTAGTCAGCGTGGGGATCAGGGGGGGAATAAGCAAAATGTTCAGGGAGGTACTGATTTCAACGACCAATCGGGGAGTATTGAATTTGGAAATCAGTACGGGCAGCGTCGGGATAGAAATGGACATCGTGGACAGGGAGTTCATGGGCATGAGCAGCATGGACACGATGATGGAGATCAGGATTATACTCAACAGACTCAAGATTCTGATAACTTCTCTCATCAACATCAGCACCATGGACGTGGACATGGTGTTCATGGACATGAGCAGCATGGACATAATGATGGAGATCAGAATTATACTCAACAGACTCAAGGTTCTGATAACTTTTCTCATCAGCATCAACACCATGATTATACTCAACAGACTCAAGATTCTGGGTACTCTTCCCATCAACACCAGCACCATGGGCATGGACATCGTGGACATGGAGTTCATGGTCATGAGCAACATGGACATAATGATGGAGATCAAGATTTTACTCAACAGACACAGGGTTTTGAAGACTTTTCTCAGCAGCAGACTGGAAACTTCGGTTTTGAAAGTCATCATCAACACGGACATCATGGCCATGGTGTTCATGGTCACGAACAACATGGACACAATGATGGAGATTATAGATATAATCAGCAAGGAGGTCGATTTGATTACTCTCAACAGCAATCAGGGAATTCGCAATTGGGACAACAGCAGATCCAACAATCTGGTGGTACTGGATTTGATCAGCAAAACCATCGTAATCAAGGACGAGGATCTTACGGGGGTTACAGTCAGCAGACTGAGGATTTGACTCAACAGACTCAAGGTTTCGAGGATTTGACTCAACAACAGACGACAGACGGTTTCGGATTTGGTCAACAGAATCAACAACCTGATCACTCTGGTCGATATGGAGGATATTCTCAGCAAACACAAGATTTCAATCAACAACAGACAACTGGAAATCATCAATTTGGACAACAACAGACAGGAAATCAACGTGGAAGTTCTGGTCATTATGGAGGCTACAGTCAGCAGACCGAAGACTTAAGTCAACAAACTCAATCCTTTGGGGACTTAACTCAACAAACAGGAAACTACGGTCAGCAAACCGAAAACTTGAACCAACAGACTCAATCCTTCGACGATTTGACACAACAAACGACTGGAAATGTTGGCTTTGGGCAGCAGCAAACAGGAAACCTTCAGTCTGGAAATCAACGAAGAAATCCTGGTCGTTACGGAGGTTACGGTCAGCAAACTGGAGACTTGAATCAACAAACCCAATCCTTCGACGATTTGACTCAACAAACAACTGGAGATCTCGGTATCGGACAAAAACCGTCAGGGAACCTTCAGTCTGGAAATCAACGAAGAAATCCTGGTCGTTACGGAGGTTACGGTCAGCAAACTGAAGACTTGAGTCAACAAACTCAATCCTTTGGAGATTTGATGCAGCAAACAACTGGAAACCTTGGCTTTGAACAACAACAGACAGGAAACCTCGAATTTGGGAATCAGCAACGGGACTTGAGTCAACAGACACAATCCTTCGACCATTTGATTCAACAAACAACTGAGAATCTTGGCTTTGGAAACCAACTTGAAAATTCTGGTCATTACCGAGGCGATGGTCAACAAACCGAAGACTTGAGTCAACAAACTCAATCCTTCGGTGATTTGACTCAACAAACAACAGGAAATTTTGGCTTCGAACAACAGCACACAGGTAGGCTCGAATTCGGGGATGAGCAGCGTGATTTGAATCAACAAATTCAATCCTTCCCTGGTTCGACCCAGCAATCAGATCCCCTCGCGGTCGGCAACGAGCGTCCAGCTCCAAAGCCCCCAGTAAGGGGTCAAGTCAGAAACGGAGGGCGTGCTGATTCCACCGCAGCCCAAGACACCCCCCTGACCCCAGTTAAAGGCGGCAGAAGACGCCCAGCCCCACAGAACACCTACCCCCAACCATCCCAAAACTCTGACGCCCTCGGGGTAATATCAATCGAAGACCAACTCCAACAGACCACTGGCACCCAGTGGCATAACTCTCATCAACCCAGTGACTTAACAAATGAAAATTACCAACAGGGAACCCTCGATGGCTCTCAAAATCCTCAAATCTCACACAATGAACAACAAAACGCGACAGACACTGAAATACTATTTCAGCCTCGTATTCTCGAGGCTTATGGCGGCAAAGGCCCCTACGACGTCAACCACAATGACAATATATTCTCGGGGGTTAAACCCAATCCAACAGCAACATTATCACCAATGTCCGACTCTTGGGATATTCGAGAAAAACCCAATGATATAGCTCACAGAAATAATAATTATCCAACATTTGCAGGAGCACCCGATCGAGCACCAAGGTATGATTGGGAAGAAACGACAACAACAACGACTCCTGCACCTGGATTCTGGAAACGAGTTGGAAATAAAATCGCCACGACGTACGAGAGAACTAAGGAAAAAATCACCTCTTCGTTAGGATAGTTTATCTTTCGATTTTGGGGCAAAATGGACATGTGATTTTTTCAAATGTGAATGACGCGTTGAATTGTTTATGAAAGGGAAAATTTTTTTCCGTGGAAATTATAACTCTTCTCCTTTGCAAATGACCCTAGGCTGAGATTAATTGATAAATCTACTTCTGAGTTATGAACATTGAACAAAGACAATTGTGCCCATTAAGGGCACTTCGGTTTTCGAATTCGATTTTTCTATCCAACTTACTCTATTGAGATATTTTTTTACAGAAATTTCTCAATACAAATTTGTCATTTTGTTGTTTGATTTTCTTGATGAAAATCAAAGAAAAATAGCAGGAAAAAAACTTAACAAATGTGAGCCAAGAAAATTCTATAGAAAATATCTAAATAGAATAAATTGTATAGAAAAAATTGAATCTTATTTACTTTTTCTATAGAATATTTTCTATTGAACATTTCAATAGAATCGGCCAAACACTAATAGAAAGTTCAATACAATCTTAACAATCCAATAGAATTGTCTAGCACATTCGCTAGTTTTTTTTCTATTAAATTTTTTCATGCATGTTTTTTCAGGTTTCAAAATAAGACCTGATTCGCTCCAATTCCATAACTTAAGCGATATTGATGAATATAAGGAGATGCTATTTACCTTACAGTCTCTTGATAATTCAGCGAATTTTCGATAAATTATTTTTTCTTTAAAAATAATAGTTTTTTCCGTTTATAATGCGTCGAGACTGACCTCCACTCATGAATTTATTCCTGAGTTATGAGTATTTCTAAAAAAAATCAAGTGTCCATTTTGTCCGGAATTTTGTATTTTTGTCTCTGGTGTATCTCGATACAACAGATGTACAATTAATTTTTTTCATAATAGAGCATCGAATCCATTGCAATAATCTCATCACTTTGATACAGCGTAATATAAGTATTATTATAAAATATATTTAAATCACAAGACAGCGAATAGAACCCGTGAAAAAATCGTGTATACGGTCCTTTTGTGTCAAATAAAAATCATTTGTCATCAAACGAGGTAACTTAATGTGTCGATTATTTATTACTGTTATGCCATTGTTGATATTGATGCACGTATGATAAAATTTCATAGAAAAACCCAGTGAATTCGCTAGAGAATTCTATTGGATTTCTATTGAACTTTTCATTCGTTTTTGGCCGATTCTATTGAAATGTCCAATAGAAAATATTCTCTAGAAAACGTCACTAGAATTCGATTTTTCAATACACCTTATTCTATTGAGATATTTTTATAGATATTTTTATAAAATTTTTTTTATAGATTTTTTATAAATATTTTTTTTTATTTTCTTGAAGAAAAGAAAAAAGGAATTCTATTGACATGTTCCATAAAATATTTACTATTGAATATTTCAATTGCAGTTCAATAAGATTTATTACCAACATCCCGCTCGCCGGAGCCTTACGTTAAAATATTCGGTTCCAATGGGAATCGAACTGACAACCTTTCGCACACTAGACTTGCGTCTAGCCCACTCGGCCACCGACGTCGGTTCAATAGAATCTAAGACAATCCAATTGAATTGTTTAGTGAATTCGCTAGGTTTTTCTATGAAAATTTTTCATGTGTGTTTTTTCCGGCTTCCAAATGAATCCTGATTCATTCCAATTACAGAGCTTGGGTGATATTGATGAATATAAGGAGCCCCAATTTACGTTACAGTCGCATGATAACTCACTGAATTTTCGATAAAATATTTTTTCTTTGAAAATGATGGTTTTTTCCTTTTCTACCGCGTCGATACTGAGCTCCACTCATGAATTTAATCCTGAGTAATGAATATTTCTAAAAAAAACGTCAAGTGTCCATTTCGTCCTGAAGTTTGTTTTTTTATCTCTGACGTATCTCGATACAACAAATGTACAATGAACTTTTTTCTACAATTGAGCATCGAATCCATTTCAATAATCTCATTACTTTGATACAGCATGTTATAAGTATCGTAAAATATATTTTGATCACAAAGTAAATAGAGTAAATAGAACCCGTGAAAAAATCGTGTGTACGGTTCTTTTGTGTCAAATAAAAATCATTTGTCATCAAACGAATACCTTAAGGTGACAATTATTTATTGTTATGTCATTGTTGATATTCTTAATGAAGGGAATATTTGAGGACTTACCGCAGGGAGAGCCTTGAATATTCGCATGAAGATCTGCTGGGCCTGGGCATCTAAACAAAGGGAGATAACCTGCCGTTTAGTCGTTGGTCTTTCGTCCTATTTACATCAGTTTATTTGTACAAACCCATGCCGAACTTTGTTCCCTTCGGTTCAGTGACCTCCGTCATCTTTTAGAATTTAATCAAGAACAAAACCACAAAATAACAAATGAAATTAATGAATTTACAAGAATTTTTTTAAGGAGCTCGAAACGTTGATCAACGCAAATCACCGCACGCTAAGGAACAAACCGGCTGTGGACCACTATGGACGACTGAAATACGCGGGTTTTTGTTGTGCATTTCAAGATGGATGTCTAGGGACACTAGAAAGATATTGCTTTCTGTCAAAAATCCCGGGTTGGGTAGGGTCATCCCAAAGTAAAATTTCAGGTTATTATGACGGCTAAGACACTCAAAATTCCCTACGGCCCAATAGACGGATATGCCACAAGCGGGTATAACATCAGTTCCGGAAGTTCGAATGTAATAATCAAGCCAGTCGCTGGTTGATAATTCAACGGGATGTAACAATAATATATATTATTGATTGGTAATGGAATGAAAGATCATGAAGACTACTTTTCAATAAACTGATTCTGAATGATGACTACGATTCCTGACTGTCCAAAATCATATAGAATTTTTTGATGGATAATGAGAGAACTACAGCTTAATCATGCAGATTAATCGATTAATATGGGCTATGATAAAAAAACTGTATAAAAAATTTTTGAAATGAAAGTGAAGAGAATAAAAATTCTATTTAATAGCTTAGTCATATCCAGATACAGCGGGAATATGGAAATGAAGAACAATTAGGTATCATGATGTGATTATCATGTGTTGTGAGTAAATATCCATATGTTTATTATCGAGAGAAATGAATTTCTATATGTTCTATTAATATAATGATAAGGAGCAAGATATTCTATGATCAGGACTCTCTGAAATACTAGAATGGTTGGTGGTAAGAAGGTCCATTGACCAGAAATGACAAACCCCAAAAACGCTAAAATCCAAATGTGTAGTTGATAATAGCAGTTTTCTATAAGGGGATCTGACTTAACGACGACGGTGTCTACTTTACCAATGGCCAAACTTGTCTCTTTAACCAAGGAGCCTTTATTATCGACATTTGTTTTTCCCAAGCCCGTGAGATGGCGGTGAGATGAAAATATTTACGGGGTGAGAAGAAAATTCGAAATAATCAGTACAAAAAGTCAATTAATTATTGGCAATGGTGAAAGGATAAATCTCACGGGTATTATTTATAAAAAAGGAGAAAATTAGTAATAATACTGGTGAGTAATCATTGAATTATCGTTAATGGTGAGTATCATCTTTACCTTATTAAATGGAAAAGAAAAGTTTTTTAATTAGACGAACGAAATAAATTACGATGAGAATAGTTAATTAATTGAAACAAGGAATTAATTAAGGAGTAATTATAAGTTGTGGTTCAAAAAATCATCCCGCTCTCTTTTAGCAGATTTCAAAAGACTCGAGGGCTGGCATGAATAATTTAATCGAATTTATATTACATTTTATATTCGTTTTTGTCCAACTGAATTAAAATATTGCTTAGAAAATATTCTCTAGAAACAGTCAATAGAATTAAATTTTTCTATATAACTTATTATATTGAGATATTCTCTATAAAGTTTCCTCGGCTCAAACATTCAAAGTTTTTTGTTTTGATTTTCTTAATAAAAAGGATAGAAAAATAAAATTAGAAAAAAATAGGAAATTCGAGCCGAGGAAATTTTATAGAAAATTTTTCAATACAATAATTTGAATAGAAAAATTTAATATCGGTGAATCTTTTGATAGACTATTTTCTATTGAACATTTCAATAGAATCAGCCGAAAACTAATAGAACGTTCAATAGAAATCTAATAAAATTATCTAGCGATTTCGCTAGGTTTTCCTATTATATTTTTTCATGCATCCAGCAAAGAATTACTTGTCATTCTTGTTCATTTATGTGTTGAGTGCTACAATTTATACGACTTCATCAACTCATTCACATGGAAATGTCATTTTCAACGTGAGGAACGGTAATTATTATTATAGCACTCAACTTATAAATCTAAGGGAATATCTTGCTCTAGTTTGCATAACAATAAATAACATCTTAATTAATTTGTCGAAAACTTTCAACAACTTGGTCAAACTTTTGACAAGCAATATTTAAATTATCGTGCTGAGCCAAAACGTTGACAATTCCATTGAAACAGCTAGCACATGAGAATCAATGCCAGCAAGGGATCGAAAAAATCAATGTTGCTTCCAGGTAATTCCATTTTTTAAAAACATTGGAAAGGATAGGACAAAGGGGCGTAACAGTGTTGTTTACATTGTTTTTAAAGTTTTTCCATCACGCTGCAGGTGATTGTGGCTAGTGTTCCTTGTTGGCGATACAGGCGAAAACCCCCAGTAAATAATAATTATGCCCCTGACCAAACCGGGGTCTTGGTTTGCTCCACCCCTACACTATTGCCCGTCTTCACCTGAGGAAATTGCGTGCAATTTTTCCTTCAGGAGCATTAATCCAATTTTTTTTATAACTGAACCATTTATAACTGAAACACTCAAGTGAGAAAACTGAAGCACGAACCGGTCTCTCCATCTAGTACGCGCCTTAGCGAGGGTTTTCCTCAATGCGCGACTAAAGAACGGGTTAAAACCAGAAATTTCATCGAAAAAAAAGAAAATAAAAAAAAATCATAACTCTTGCAATTATTAATATATGACAATTTTTCTTTTCTCAAAATGTTCGTCTGATGCCCAGGGGGAGCAAATTTCAGACGTCCGTTTTTTGGCGCTTCGGAAAATTATCTTTTTTTAATTTTTCAATTTTCTTTTTTTTTTCATTTCAAAATACGTAGATAATAGTAATTTTCTGCAAGTCCTCATTTCTGAAATTAAAAAATGTATGAATTAAAAAGAAAATGGAAATTAATGATCATTTTATATATTACGAAGTGGACCTTCACTTTTATTATTCAGTATGTTTTGTATGAAGAGTCACTTCGACTAAGCAAGAAAAATAATCTGCAATCGAGATGGGAGAAGGCGGAACAATACGCAATTCCCATCTCTTTTTGCACTTTCCAAGAATTTCTCACAGTGCGAATTAATTGAAACCATGTTCAATCGAAAGAACGGAAAATTTCCATGGAAAATATGCACATACTAAGAACTCGAAAAATAATTTCTTTACTCCGCTTGAAACCCGAAATTTTGGCACAAATTCAAAAATAAAAAAAAATACTTTGAAAAAGATCATTATTTTTAAGGTAATTGGATAAGAATCTTCCGAAAAATTGGAATTTTGAAGGTACAAAACCATTTCCATAATTGGCAATATCACCTTACTAAAAAAAAATCCAACTTCGTTATATTCCGATGGCACAGGCCAATTTATCTCCTCGATAAATTTATTAAAATATAAAATCAATGAGTTTGTNCGCACCGATTTAATCATATTCAATCATCTCGTTTGTGGAAAACATTTCACTCAAACAATTTGGGATTTACATTGAAAGTACTTTGATAATCTTTCTAGCAAATGGCACAAGTCAAATTTTGATTTATTATACTCTTAAGGTACTTCCTCAGTCACTTATACTTGGTGAAAATTTCGCTATGTACTGAAGACTCAAAATTTAGATCATATGTACTTGAGCACATGTGAAAACGATTCCCGAAATTTCACGTATTTTTCCCAGTGAATTTTCAGATATGCATCGTCAAAATTTTAAAAAATACAAAAATTGAATGCTTGACAATGGATATCTCAAAAATTCGCGTGGAAAAGATACTTGAAATTTTGGGGATTTTTTTTGAATGTGCTCAACAACATATGATTCAAATTTCGCATCTTTAGTACATTGCGAAATTTTCACCAAGTATATAAGTGACTATATAAGTACCTTAACATTCGATAGGAAATTAATATTCAATTTCATCTAGGCTCTGTGAGCAGCGAGACTAC